AGAGGTGAGTTAGAGAAGAGAAAGAAGGGAAGACCCTTGTGCACTCATTCTGACCTAGCCACTCAAAGCCCATACACAGAAGAGAAAGAAGGGAAGACCCTTGTGCGCTCATTCTGACCCAGCCACTCAAAGCTCATACAAGAAGAATGCAGACATCGTTCCACAGTCGCACACTCAGCTGTGGGAACATAAAGATTAATTAGCCAAGCTGAATAAGAGAAAGAGATGGAAGTTTAAGAAACAAATCCTAGCTAGCAGCGATGATGCAAGTCTTTCGCTTTGCCCTGAAGCTACGTGAAATGGCTGGCTGAACAGCTGCAAGGAGATAGGCAGTGCCCAGTAACCTCAGTCTAACCCCTCTCCTAATGCCTCATTGCTTGGGGTACCCAGACCAATGTAAGGTATTACTTTTTATTTTCCCCTCCTCATTTGGAATCATGAAACATCTTTAGAAAAAAAGCACATTCTACAAATGCCAAATTGAATATAAAATATGTGGGATGCTCCACTCCATGTTCAACCAGCAATTACTTGAGTACTTCACGGTCACCCTAAAATCACAGGACTGAATCTGATTTTGTCAGTTTTCATATATTTTTTTCTGAAGATGCCTCACATCCCTACTAATGGGAGAAGAGAGATAATTGCTACCTGCTGTTTCATCTTATTGTGTGTTTCCTGGGAAGAAAACTGCCAAATGAATGGCCCATGAGAGGACTGAAACTTCTTGAGAAACGCATTGAGTACATTCCATTTCTGGCTATCCTTCTGATGTGTCGTCTCTTTTTTGGCTTTTCAGTACCTAATTTCTTCTCTTCTTGCTAATAAAAAGTGGGCTTCTTCTGCCCCCTAGTGATTGTAGGAACACAATCTCAGATCATGGACTTCAGCTGTGATGATTAGGTTATTTAATTAAGAAAGCTCTGATATTTCCAAGCTTTGATATTTTTTACTTCAGAGATGGCATACAACCACTGTCTACGTATTCACTGAAGATATAGGGTCTGTATCTGGGGTTCTCAAACTTATGGCAATTAGGAGAAGCCACTAGGGGAGTCTTCCCTTACAATGCAATGATGCAATAAGAAAGCCATTCCTCAGATAATTCTTATGCTGATATATATGAGTCATCTCAAGATCTTGATGTTATCCCCCAGATCAAGGGAAATCAGTATAAAATGTTCTGAATATATCTGGGAAACCTCTCCTTGCCATTAACATGACTGTCAGTGTGCAAATCTGAGTCCATCTGAGACAGCATGTCAGTCCTGCAGGAGGACTTGGTGTCCCTGATGCAAAGGGAGACTGAAAAAACAAAACAAAAGCCAGAACAAAACCATCCCATAGCATAACCGAGACTCAATTCTCTTTCCTTCCCTTGCTTCCCAGATCACAGTCCACAGAAATGCTGCCGTAGTTGCCTTGGTATTCATGTGATGTGCTTGTAAAGCTGCAATGACAACTTCTCCCACCCATTCCCTCCTTTCTTGTCAAATTAATTGGTGGCAGAGGCAGCAAAATTGACCAGTGAGATTCTGTGAAGTCGATCCAGGCGCAGTCTGCGTAGCAGCAAGGTCTAGGCTTGTAAATGACCTATCACAAGGCATTTTGGAACTTGCTGAAGTGCTCGGCACTTTCACTAACAGAATCGGAGCTCAGCTAGATCCGCCTCTGTAATGCTGTACCCACAGGGCTTCCAGTCCAAGCCCTTTGGTGTCATCATCCATCATCTCTGCCTCCTTAGATATTCCAAAAAGTTACAAAAGAGGACGGGAGTCTAAATAATGCAGCAGACCACTGTGTATTACGGATAGTAAGTGAAAAGCACTCGCAGTATGTCACATCAGAACTCAAGTGTCAGTCTTGATGAAACTGTTTTTGTGAAAGCAAACTACAGTCAATGTGCATGAGCAGAATGAAGTCAGCACAGAATGAGCTAAATGTCTTTTTTTTTTCCCCACAAGCTGAAAAATCACAAGTTTCAATGTTTCATTTGTAGAAGTGGAACCATGCTTTCCTGTGAATTTTTGGAAAATGTAAGTTGGCTGCTAACAAATAAGAACTGTTACTCAGAGTCAAACTGTGTGCCATATTAAACATGTGCCATGCTGCCTAAATTCATTCTCTTCTTTACTTTGTAATACAGCCCTAAACCAGATTGAGACCAATCTGATTCTCTGTGGGGCTTAAAAGAAGAAATTTGTCTGATGCCGGTCAAGCATTTAAACCCACATGAACCAGAAGGAGCGTTGGGTTGAGGATGTTCCTCCCCTACCCATTTTGCTCTGGATTCAGATTGAGGCTGTGCATGATTTATCTAGAGCAGTGTTTCCCAACCTGTGGGCTGTGACCCCCAAGGGAGTCACAAAGTGTTTTCTAGGGGGTCATAGGTCACCTTATGCATATGTGTTGTAGTTCTTGTTAAATAATTTCTTCCTTGCAATATTAAAGTTGGCATGTATGTATGTGTGACAAACAGGACCTCTGGGGGAGACACAAGTGTCTACTTTCTAAGAAGGGATGATTTTAACCATTAAAAATGCTTCTTTATATAAACATGGCAGGGGGTACAGATTACATGGCTAGTAGAAAAGGGGGTGCAACTCAGAGAAAGTTGGGAACCACTGCTTTAGAATGAAAAATGGAGTGTTCTTTGGCTGCATGTGCCACATGAAACTTAGTGGGTAGTCTGCCCCATAGACTCTTATGCAACTAAATTGAAACTGCTGGTAAGTGTGTGAGGGCACAAGATGGGCATTTGTCCTTTTGTTCATATTCTGTTCCTCAATAATGATTTGAATGCTTCCTCAAATGATTATGAGCCCAAGTAAATACTTGAGTATCTAAGAGATTTCATACAGTCTCCACTGTTCCTTTTTGTTGTCTTTTTCTTTCCACTTTTGGGGGGCTTGGAATTGTTTTGTGTGAATATTTGGTAAATGCAAGTCTCCCAAATCTGTGGCATCTATTCTCCATACTCTGCTCTATATCTGCCTCTGTTTTTCATTCATTCATCCATGCAGATGCGGCACCTGTCCATTCTGCCCTGAAGGATGGGCATGAATCCTTTACAAAAGGAGGAGGAAAAGAAGATGGTGTCTCCTCATCCAAAGAAAGACTTTTATGCTTTTCAGAAGAAAAGGAGAGGGAACAAGAGCAGTAGTGTTACAGTTGATTTTTCTGAACACTTAACCAGCACATTCACTTCCAGATTTCTGTGCAAACTCTAAATGTTGGTGTCCTCGGGCAAAGCCCCATTTGCTCCACCCTAATTGCCACCCTCCATCAAGGTCTAAAGGACACCAACAGCAAAGTTATTAAGAAAACAGAAATCCAAACGTGCAATAAGCAGACATACTGTTTATGGTCAAGAGAGAGAGCTTACCACACTGCTGGGTGACCCCCCCCCCGAAGTAAAATGGGTCAAAGAAAGGCATTAGAAACTGAATGTATGAGCCACAAAAAAAATCTAAGGTTCAAAGTGCTTTCCAGTGGTTAAGATGATGGTTCTCATCAATTGAGAGGGAGATCAACTTGCTGCCCTAAAAGTCTGTGAGAAAAAATATATATATTGTATGATATCATGAGGTCATTGTACTTTAAAAGTGATGAAGAAAACCAACATTTCATTATGAAAACAGCCAACCTGTAGGAACCGTCACAAATCTTAATGTACAGAAACTATAGTATATGCAGCAACTTCAAGATTGGTGTGAATGAAAGGTAGGAAAAAAGAATAAGGCAGTCTTTGTGTTGAGAACTAAAAATACAAAAATAAAAAACAAAAAAATTGGGGGAAAGGCAGTATTTAAAATAGATTATACTGGGAGTGAATCCAAGAAATAAATGAAGGTGAAAGAGAAATGAAGAAACAAAATCTCTCCCGTCAATGGAATATGAAAAATTTGTGTTTCATCCTTGGAAAGCATGGTGAATAAGATATTATTGCTAAAAATAAATTTTAAAAAAGGAAAGATGGAACATGCAGATGTTAATTATGCTGTTTTGACAAACAAAAATGGGCAGCATGCAAACTAAACTTTAGAGAGTATGGTCAAAGAAGCTGAAGGAAAACTTTGAGGAGATGGAAAAGATGGACAATAAATTTTATAAAGACCTTTGCAGAAATATCGTTATCATCATTATTAGTTGCATGGCAATACATTGTTTCATATCAGTCCCTATCTCAGCCTTAAGAGATATAATCCAGAACAAATACAAGCTGAACCCAAAGCAAGATCTAGGGGCCACAGTTGATGTAATATTTTCCCAGGGACCTTCATTCATTTAGATCTGTCATAGCTACATCATAGGTCTTCATGTAAGGTAATCACACACAGATGGAGTTGCATCTAAGAAAGGATGGTTTGGCAACTAGCTCAATTCTCTAAATCCTGAAACCATCTGTAGCTTTAATTCTCCTTTGCCTAGACTACTGAACTAGGCTTAACATTGAAATGCCTTGGAGAAACAAAACCCTACACCAATAAGCACATCTTCACTGCTGTTTCATAATAAATGAAATAAGAGTATGGTGCCTAAATACATCATAAGCATTACAGCTGAAGTCCTCTACATGCGAAAATGAAGAGATACCTTTGATGTCTAACACTCAAGCATTGCTTAAGATTAAGCAAACATGTGTCTTGTGTTACAGCAATTCAGAGTAGCCAGATTATTTAAAAACTTCTGTACATTTTAATACGTTTGTTAAACCTTCACCTTGCTAAAGAATGTATTCAATCATTTGTATCTCAGAGTACACACTACAAGTATTTGCTAAGTCAATATATCCTTTGCCTACAGACTCTATTTAATAGATTAGAACTTAGAACCTAGCTTTGCTCAGAATTTTTTTTGTACAAAATCAAGGTTTATTGGAGTCACGAATTACCAGCATGAGAATTTCTCAGCATGTTACTCACTGAGAGAGAAAGAGAGAGAGAGAGAGAGATATGAAGAGAGCAGTAATGAAACAGTGAATGACAACTTGCCCTTACCTTCACACTGAGTGACTGGATACCAGTTTTTGAAAAGTATTGGCTGTGCTGAGCAGCCCTGTGGAAAACACCATACCCTCTTCTTAAAGTTTTCACCATTTTGCAAGTTGTTAAAATTCTCGTCATCTTGTGGTAAGAGCAAAATCTCGAGTGAGTATGAAATCTTTGCAGAGGTGTATGGAAGCAAAGTTGGTGGAGGAGTTGGTCTGCTGACCCAGCTGCACAACTTTTGCTTTGCATTGTCCATTTATTCTTCCCTTAAATGGCTTCAGCAAGACTCCACCCCATTCTGCTCCACCCTAGAGGAGTGTCTAGCAGAATTCTTAGGTTGCTGTAAACCATCGACCAGTTGAAGCTACCTCCTAGATAAGGAAGAGGAGTATTTCTACTACTGGGGAATAGTCAGAATTGCAGGCCAGTTACCATTTTTTCCAACTCACCTTAATATGTAAAGTGTGAAATTAAAAGGCAAGGGATATCAAGTTGCACTGGTCACATCAGTCATGCTAATTAGATACAACATACAACTGACTATTCTTATTAGCAGTTTGCTTATATTTGGTTGAAAACCAAGTATTCGTTTGCTATAGTAAACTGTTGACCACTTACTATACTGGTCAGTTCTCAAGAGTCTATTCAGCTGCCTTACTTAGTCACAAAGATGGGTTGACATCAGTCATACATTATCTACTTTTTCTTTTCTTTATTTAAGTATAATCCACATAATTCACGAATGCGCATAAAATTTGTAAAATTGGAACAAATCTATTTCTTGACTATGTGTTCCTTGCTTAAGGCAAGGTAAGAAACTTGTTACCTTCCAAAAGTTGTTGGACTGCATTTTCCATGAGCCTACCCAATATAGCCAATGGTAAGGAAGTGTAGGAGTTACAGTCTAACAACATGTGGGGATCAATAGGTTTGCTACCTTGGCCTACAAGACTAAAATATGCCGTGCTAAATGAGACCGAGGGCCATTTTGTCCACTATTTTTGCCAGAACTCCAGATGTCCAGGAAATGGCCCATTAGAAACCAACCTATCACCCACTGGCGGACGACTGTGTGCTGTCTAATACCTTCAAGCCTATGTTCTATACGTCAAAGAAACAGAACTTGGGCTGACCTGGTTCTCCGTGCCTCCGTTATTAAGTTCTGTGGTGCCATGTCACAGCTATGGCCCTATTGTTAGGCAGAGTCAAGAGGCTGCATCATGTGGTAAACAATTGGTGGAGTTAAAAGAGGTGTCAATATATTGAAGGGCTGTGTACATTTCATGGCTGACCTTGTGCCCTCTTAATTAGAGGAAAGAGCAATCTTGCCATCAGTGCTGAAGTAAAAACTAACTGCAGACGTGGCCAACTTGTGCATTCCTCCCATCTGAATATAGTTAAGTAGGTTGCAGTCATGCAAAAAAAAGTTGAAAGGGGGCAGATTCAGCTTCCTCAGATACATAGTGAGGTCACTGGGCATCATTAGGCTCAGCCTCAACACTAAAGCTGATTGCATGCCTTTACTTCCTTATTCCTGGGTGGCTAAAGTCATTTTAAATGGCAGCCCACAGGGCATAGTAAGTAAAACAGAGTCATGTCATGTCTATGTAAATGAACATTAGTTTCTGTTTGCCTCTTTGTTACAGCATCAAGATTTTCATCTTTGGACAGTGGGTTTGGGATTATCTGACTTGAAATGCAGGCTATGTTCCATACACAATAATCACTTGGGGGTCATTGTAAACAGCTTGATGGAATTTCACCTAATTGATGGTATATTTGGCCTGCTATGATTTACAATATAGATGTGGAATCTGTTCCAAAAAAATATCACTTTGCAGTCTCTGGAGGCATCCCATTGCAAAGATTTTGATGAGTGGACAAATATACATGTTTTGACTTATGCCATAATTTTCTAGACAGAGGTCTTCAAAAGTTCATTCTTTGCGAGCCATGCTGGCTGGATGATTCTGGGTGTTCTATTTCTTGGATGTGTCAAATGAAGATGGAAAGGAAAAGAGAGAAACCAGTGCAAAAGGGAGAAATAAAAAGAAAGGAGGCACCAGGGTGAGGGTGTGAGTCATGGGATTTTAACTTGGGTGAACCCAGGTGCATTGTCTAGTTGCAAAGAAAAAAAAAACAGCATGCAAAAGTGTGGGGGCGGAAAACTCATCATTAATAAAATGTCTCCACCACCCCCTCATCCTATGTATAAGTACAAATATCCCCCAAAGATTGGCAGCTTTCACTCACAACTGCTACAGATCAAGTCACTGATCTGAAAATATCCTTATTTGAAGTTGCCAGTACACAGATGTGTGTGTGTGTGTGTGTGTGTGTCTGTGTGTTCAGCTGCCAGAGGAAATCATTGCACTGTGAAGAAACAGTAAAAATGAGCATTCCATTAAGGGGCTCTATACAGACAAAAGAGCTATTTCTGCCTTGCCTATCAGGAATAGCAGACAATTATGACATGACATGCATTTCTGAGCAATGTAACCAACCCCTCTAAAAATGAAATTACAAAGGTCTGCTAAATGCATCTGAAGCTCATCTTTTCTCACATATAATAAAGGGACATGTATTTCTTTTTTTCCTATTAGTATAAATAACACCTGTTCCCAGGAATAACTCTGTGGTAGGATGAAACCTGCTCACCACATTGCGCCAGGAAAAGTTGTTGTTTTTTCCATGCAGTCATGTCTCACATAATTTTATGGTACATTGAGATGGCATTCAGCGCTACCTACATGACACAGTTTTAACAGTTTGATACCACTTTTAGCTGTCATGGCTCCATCTTATAGGAACCTGGGATGTGTAGTTTGGTGAGGTAATTAAAATTTTCTGTTGCACCCCCCTGACTCGCAGCAGAGAATGCTAAGTATCTCTTCAAACTGCGAATCCCAGGAGTCCATGGGATGGAACCATGACAGTGAAGTCATAACTTGACTGCTATAAATATGTAGTGTGGATACACCATAGGCAGCCCGTCACCACGGAGAGACGGCAATGTCCCTCCTCATCATTCCAAACACAAGTCAAGAGTTCTGAGTCTCATCAGCCTGTATCAAAGTTAGCCTTCAGAACTGGCTGAAATCCTAAGGCACAATTCTGCAAACAACATATTTGGAATCAAATGGCTGTAAAGAAATCTTCATAGGCATTATGTATTGCATGCTAAGTTGCACAGTTCAGCAGAGATCTACAGAGATTTCTTCACTTACAAACAACTTATTTCCCAAAGTTATGCTGTTTGCACAACTGCGCAACAGGATTTGAGCCTCCGTTTCAGTGAAAAGACCACTTTATTAAAGTGAACTACAGCAGAGCTTGGAAAATATATCTTGCTGGGCCTCAGCTCTCAGAAACCTGCCGTTATCATGGCCATTTTGAGTCATTTTTAAATTTTTAATTGATTTTTTAAAAAATATATTATTACCACATTATTCACAATTAATATTGTACATTCACATTATAATGTCCATTACAACAATCAATATTTGTGAATTAATCTCCATTAATATTAAGGGCAACAAACTAATATTCCCAAAATTGTTGAACTATTGAGGTACCAGAGATCCCAAGAACCTTCTAGTCCAAGAAATCCCCATCCCTGCCAGATGGCCACTCAGTCTCTCAGAATATTTCCAACACCTGTTTCCAGGACAAACCACTTCCTTATCAAACAGTTTTACCATCAGAAAGTTTTTCTTCATGTTTAATTGGAATCTCCTGTCCTGTAATTTGAATCCATTGGCTGAAATCCTGTTGCTAGGATTGTGAGCCGACAGTCATTGCACAAAAAAGATTGGCAGCTATTGCACTAATACGTGCTATTGTCTAGCAGGGAGGGGAAAGGCTTTTCATATAGCTGCCCTTCTGATCTCTGAAGATGGCTATTGTATTATCTATTCTCTTTTTCCAGGCAAAACATGGGCAGCTCCTTCAACGATTCATCATAGGGCTTGTTTTCCACATCCTTTATCATTTTCAGTGCTGCCCCCCCCCAGCCTTTTTCCAGCTTCTCAAAAGCCTTTTTAAACTGTATAGCCGAGAATTAGACACAGTGTTCCAAGGGAGGTCTAACCAAACCAAAGCAGCAATTACTTGCCTTGATCTAGTGACTGTACATTTGTTGATGCATCTGGTTAAAACAAACATTTTCAAGTTCTGTTTTATTAACACTGTTGCAGGGTTTTGTTTTGTTTTTTGTCTCTTTTCACCCTTCTCCCCACTACTCCCTCCCCTCCTCCATCTGCCCGTCTTCTTTCTTTGGGGACAAAACTTTGGAAAAACAAACACACCAGAAAGGCACAATAACAATAAGAGCACCGCTACTGGCACCCATTTGAGAAATGATGGAATCAAAAGAGAGCCCAAAGACTGGAAATGTGATTGTTTCTACAACAACTCTGAAAGACAAATACAAGAAAGGAAGTCATTGGCACTGCTCAGCTGCTATGATGAGAGATGTTATTTCATGTAGCTTGAGGAAAGAGTGTGCTTTATTTCACATTTCTTCCTGTTATTCCTTTCCTCCTGGAAGATGGATGTCATCATAGCTATTTGGATTTTGGATGTGATAGCTCTATGTGAACTTGTTATGTTGCATCCAAACCCAGGCTATCCAGCCATTAAGTTCTTCTTACTCACTTCATGCTTTGCCTGGTTCTTATCTAATATTTATATGCTTACTGTTTTAAAGTTTTGAATATTGTCTTTTAATGATGTAAGCCACCTTGAGTCCTTTTTAAGGAAAACATCAGGGTAAACATATTATAAATAAATAAATAAATAAATAAATAAATAAATAAA